TTAGCAGGTGTAAGGCCACTAAGTTGCGTAACTCTTTCTCTGAAGCGACCTGGCCACAAATGGTAGCTGAACGGAGCGGTTCGTCATCACGTGGACATTTGAAGCGGCCACATACTCTCAAGCAGTGAGTGGTTCTTAACCTGGCGTGCCCTTTCTGGGCGTGCTAGACATGACAGATTGTTTTAGAAGGTAAATAATCGAAAACACAAATTAAACGCGCGGCCACGTAAGTTACAACTTACTTTGTTTCATCAAACCGCCGTATATTTATTAACATTACACAATTGTTAACGGTTGATAGCCAAAGGAGTGCAGGGTGCAGTCAAGGTTAAGAAACGCTGCTCTAAAGTCTAAACGGATGACGCTGATTCTAAATGTGCATGGGGAAACTCCCGAGGACCCGGAGAAAAACCCACGCGAACACGGGAGAGAGAGAGAGAGACACGCAAAACTCCAAATATACAACCGGTATCAGGGTCGGGATTGGGATCGAACCCACTACCTCCTGCATACCAGGTGAGGGAATTAACATCTCACCATGCGATACCCCGGCTCTGTGGTTCTCCGTTGCTTCCCCGGTGTTCGCTGTGCCCGAGATAGGAATTCACACAACTCCTGTAGACGCTGACCGCTCTTACGTGGGGTGCCTGTGGCTGCTTTGCTCATTTAAGGAACTGTTTCTCTTGGAACATCAACCCGCCCGGTTCCCCTTGATTGGGTTCGGCTAAGCGTGACCGCCGCATGTAGTAATGCGTGCGCATGATGATGAGTATTATTATGAAACGGGTTTCTAACTGCACGTAATTAAAGGTTGATGTGTCCGGTGGGAGATTGTGGCCGAGTGTGGAGTAGTGGCACAGCGGTCAGCACACCGGGCGTAAGCTACGAACCCGACGGAGCCGAGTTCGATTCCCGCTCACGGCCAACTAACACATCAGTGGCGATCGTCTTAAACGATCCAGGGTCCCCACCCCTAGGTTGACTCAGCCGCCAATGAGTAGCTGGTGCGATTTGTTATCATAGTCGCGAGGGAGACACAGGCGGCCTTCATAGGTGACAGACTCGCCAACAGCACGTGCCCCAAACAGCCTTTTTGAGGCTATGCGGGGGATCTTTTTTAATCGTGTTCGGGTGGGTGGAGCGGTGGCGCAGCGGTGAGCGCAGTGCGCAGTTACGAAACCCGACGAGCCGAGATCGATTTCCCGTCCATCATTGGCGAGTGATAATATCCGAACCGGCCCTGGGTGCGCCCCTATAAGGCCGACTCGGCCATAAATGAGTACTGTGCTGTACTTGCTGCGGCGCGTTAAAACATCAGCACTCGAGAGAGACAAAGGCGGCCGGGCGAGGCGCTGGACGTAACACACCCACTGAGCACGGGACTCGATCACAGCACTTGCCCCAACAGTCCATAACAGCAACACTGCTTAGCCTGGGGAAGTTTGTCGAGACCGGGGATCATCCCGCGTGATTTGGTCAGGAGTCCACATAATATAAAAGTCACAGTCATTTCCCATTTACAGCCCTGAGACAGCGGTGGAAATTCCACATTTTCTGTGGCGTGGGCTAGTCTCGCCCATCGTACAACCACTGTTGACTTCCACACACAAACGGGTGGTGTGACCAGCACCACGCCCCGGCGTCCCTTGTCTCTCCAGGTTACAGTACTCATTTAAGGCTGAGTCTACCTAGACGATGCCCGGCACCGGTTCAAATATTCGCCACCGTTGTTGGGCGCGTGCCAGGAATCGAAGTCGAGTCGCCCGGGTTCGTAGCGCAGCGCGTGAGCCACCTTCAGGGTTATTTGGCCGCCTCTCTGACGTTGGTCAGACACCTCGGGAAATAACTCGTACTTTAGTTAAAGGTGCAGCCAGCAGTGTCCAGTAACTCCCCATGCAACGCGGTTTTCGCTTAAACCGCGGTACTTTCTCCGGAGGGCGTTGAACCGCGTTAAACGAGGAATGGCTGTAGACTGCTGGGTGGGTTGAGACAGATCGAAGGCCACTCACTGCAGCTTACCACCACAACACGGCAGCCCTGTGCCCAATGTGAGCCGAAATCTGCCAGTAATGACGATTAAATAAAATAACGAAGTTCATCAGACGCCTGGCACATGGTGACCCTTAATGGAAGTGCCACTCCGTTGGGAAATTGAAAAATATTACCGCGTGCACGCGAACGCACGCGCGGTATGCATCAAACATAAAACATGTGTGTACGTCGCGAGGGGGGGAAGCCTTCGAACAGCAGGGGATAGATCATGGCTGATGAGTCCGAGACACATTTTGTACCATGTCGCCGTCCTGCGTTGTGCTACAGCAGGCCCCGGAGCTGATTGCCCAACAACGTCTGGCGACAAACCGGGTCGACGCACCCTGCCACTGCTGCTGATGTCTCTCGAGAGGTAAAACTAATCGGCCCCAGAGTCAGTTTGCAGATTTGACGAAGGGAACGGGAGAGGCGGTTGCAGGGGTCTCCCACTTAGGAGCCCAACCTCAGATACGTTTAGCCAGTCTCAAAACTCTTTCTCGGGCAGCGTTATTCATCGCAAGGCCCTGCGGGTCACTGGCGGCCCCTGGTGGCCTTTAATACGGCCCCTGGTGGCCTTTAGTGCCGCCCCCTGGTGGCCTTTAGTGCGGCCTCTGGTTGCCTTTAGTGCGGCCTCTGGTGGCCTTTAGTGTGGCCCCCTGGTGGCCTTTAGTGCGGCCCCTGGTGGCCTTTAGTGCCGCCCCCTGGTGGCCTTTAGTGTGGCCCCTGGTGGCCTTTAGTGCGGCCTCTGGTGGCCTTTAGTGTGGCCCCTGGTGGCCTTTAATAGGCCCCTGGTGGCCTTTAGTGCCGCCCCCTGGTTGCCTTTAGTGCGGCCTCTGGTGGCCTTTAGTGTGGCCCCTGGTGGCCTTTAGTGCGGCCTCCTGGTGGCCTTTAGTGTGACCCGCTGGTGGCCTTTAGTGTGACCCGCTGGTGGCCTTTAGTGCGGCCTCCTGGTGGCCTTTAGTGTGACCCGCTGGTGGCCTTTAGTGCGGCCTCCTGGTGGCCTTTAGTGTGGCCCCCTGGTGGCCTTTAGTGTGACCCGCTGGTGGCCTTTAGTGCGGCCCTGGTGGCCTTTAGTGTGGCCCCCTGGTGGCCTTTAGTGCAGCCCCTGGTGGCCTTTAGTGCGGCCGCTGGTGGCCTTCAGTGTGGCCCCCTGGTAGCCTTCAGTGCGGCCCCTGATGGCCTTTAGTGCGGCCCTGGTGGCCTTTAGTGTGGCCCCCTGGTGGCCTTTAGTGCGGCCCCTGATGGCCTTCAGTACGGCCGCTGGTGGCCTTTAGTGCGGCCCCGGTGGCCTTTAGTGCCCCGGACAATCGACGAATCGTGAAAACACCACCCCGTCATCACCATCATCGTCGTAGTGCCGCTGCCAAACCCAACAATGGTTTCAAATGTGTGGCGGAGCCTCACACTGCTGATGTCTTGTCGGGTGAAGATTAGTTAAGAACACTGCTGTACAGGGTCTTGCGTTGATATGTTTGGCCAGTTCCGTTAGAGCCGAATGCCCACGCGTACACAATACTACTACTACTACTTGCTGACGTAGATGCAGAGCAACGACTACAATCTCACATTCAGGTGGTCACAAAAAGTCAGACCCCCCCCCCTCAAATGACGTCACAAAGCCCCCCCCCCCCCCCCCCCAATAAAACATGCTTCAAATCGCTTTAAACTATTGTCACTGTAGTGCGTATTGAATGTGGCGCTGCACTCTGATGTAGGAGAAAACATTTATTAAAAAGTATATTTAAGTAGAACGTATTGTCTATATTTAAGTTGCGTATTTTGATGTGACGTCACATTTCTCAACCCCCCCTCCCTCGCCACACATCGTCACAAATGTCTGACCGCCCCCCCCCCAGGTGCGTGACGTCATTTATGGACGGCCCCTAACCGCGTCAGGAGCAGCGGAGTTGTACCGCTGCGATGTCTCCCTCGTATTTGTGGATCGAGCAATGTCATAACACGTCTCTGTACTTGGCGTATTCTCCGGATCGTGCGATGCTCCGGAAAGTAAAACTTAGGACAAACTTGTCCCCTGGGTCAAACACATTCCTGCGGAGGGAGCTGGTAGGAACGTTGGGTTGCTCGGTCAATGGCCAGGGTCACACGGCGGCACCACGTGGTGCATTCCGCAAATATGCCCGACTGTGAGGGTGGGCACAAACCGGCGTAAGTAGGTTAAACGTTGAGTTTTATAAGGGCACCACGGGGTGACCAGCCCCTCCCCACCCAGCCCCACCCCTCCCACCCAGCCCTTCCCCACCCAGCCCCTCCCCACCCAGCTCCTCCCTCCCCACCCTCCCCTCCCCAGCCCCTGCCCACCCTCCCCACCTTCCACATCCAGCCATACCCAGCCCCTCCCCACCCAGCTCCTCCCTCCCCACCCTCCCCTCCCATTTTTGGATGCACGACGGAAGGACACAATAATCCTCTGTGAGCTGGTGTAACCAGGTTCCTACCAGTATAAAGTTTTACAAACCTGATCTCGCACGCACAAAGATCCCCCCCGTATGGCCTTAACATACTGTAGGGGCAAGTGCTGTTAGCGAGAAGCACCTATGAAGGCCAGAACGGCACACGAGGAGGGCGGTGGGTGTCTAGCATCACGCCCGGCCGCCTTTGTCTCCCCAGTGTCGATGTTTATACACACCGCACCAGGTACTAATTTCAGGCCGAGTCGACCTAGGGGGATGCCCAGGAACGGTTCAGATAGTCGCCACTGATGTTGGCCATAAGCGGGAATCGAACTCGGGTCCGTCGGGTTCGTATCGCAGCGCGCTCACAGCTCCACCACCCGACCCATGCTCGCACGAACGTGGTTGTCTGTGGTGCAGTCACGCCTCCGAGTGATCCTCTCTCTCTCTGTGACAGTGATCGCATGCGGCTGCGCGCTACAAGTTGACATAATTCATTGCGATTATTAGAAGCACGGCAAAACAGGGCCGATATGAAGACATCCAAAGAAGACGATCACTGTTGAGTATTTTTTTTTATTTAAGTTTCTAATGCATCAGGCGACAACCCAGTATCATCATCATCATCATTCGTCGTCGACATGTTCTTATTATTACATCGGTTACCATAAACTCGCTGGGATCGGCGTGACGAAAAGAGTTCCATACCACAGTGAATTCGATGTTCATAAAAGTAGCAAAATAAAAATTAAAACCGAAGTGAAAATAATAATAACAAAATCGCCTGTTGTATTATCGTCGATCTGCATTGACGATGGCAGTCACAACGTCCTCAAAAACAACGTTATGCTTGTTCATTTAACTTCCCGTTTTGTTATAATTATCATTTAGTAATTTTTTGTTTGTTATCAAAGTAAACCCCGCGAATGGATCCAAATGCATTCTCACCGCTGTTGGTGTGTGGTGTGTTAATAATAATGTAAGAGTTAGCATTGTTGCAACATAAGCAAGGTTACATAGTATTTACATACGCGATGACACTGTTTTAAAAAACATATTTTCACTGCCTTAAGGGTCTCCTCGGCGGCTGTGTGCGAGTGTGTTTGTTGCGGGCACGTGTGCACATTTACCTTAGTTTCAAATTGGTTCAGGATGCAAAAGTTTAAACGAGAGAAAATATACAGCGCAGAAACGCATCCCGTACAGCAGGGGAATTCGCGTATCTCAATTTCAAAAAAGGCTTAAAACGGGGCCGACCTCCTTCACCATCATCATCATCATGGCCAGCAGCCACGGTTAACCCGCTGCTGGATGAAGGCCTCTCACTCACAGTGCGATACAATCAATAATCCACCTAGCACCTGTAGAGCTAATTTAATCTGCTCCGTCCCATCGATGGACCCCGTTCCATCGCTTGGGGGGGTATGTACTCGTGCACAATACAAGAGCACCCTTTCATGCCCAGATGTCTTCACCAAGTGAACGGGACAGGTGAATGCGCCAGGGTGCGCGTTATCTACGCCCTCTCATGCGACAGCTTCGAAGGCGAACCAACCAATCGACCGCCGCGTGAACGGCGTGCCCACGTGTGCCCGTACCACCCGCAGGCGGGAGGCGAACCGTGCCGCCTGTGTCCACAAGGGGGCGCGCCCTCGCCACGGCGGTGGGCTCCGGCTCGTTGGTGATGTTTGTTTGGCTCGCCCCCATCTCTCGCACGCCACCACCCGCGGTACGGCCGTCAGCGTTAACCAGTCGTCGTCGCTCAAATTCATATTCACACACACGAAAAACCACACTCATTCGTCACTAATACTGTGGCCTTAAATGCGGGGGGGGGGGGGGGATAGCTGACGTTTCGGGCAAGTGGTCTTTCTTCTGGTGTGCTATGGAGAAGGGTCATTGTACCATGAACCGCATCGGAACGCCAACGAGGCCGATGCGTGCATTTCGCTCGTAAATGTGAGTTTCAAGGCAAGTCGCAGTCGTATACGACTGGGGCCACGCAACCAAAACTCTGGCCCAGACAAACTCCACGAAACTCTGCCGAAGCCCTCTTGTGGCGAAGCAGGCCTCGGCGTTGGCATTCAAGCTCATTGAACGTATCGCCATCATACGCAATCATTGCCCGAAACGTCACGCATTATATGATTTGTATTGTGCTCATTACACACGCACACAGCCAACGCATCATCACCAAATAATTTTCTTTGAATTCACGTTGTCATCACCTGCTAAAATGCACACCACTTAAGTGGCCGCCAAGAGAGCCAACGATTCAATTGGAGATATTTCGTTAAAATGAAATTAATTACGGTTCCCTTAAAATTTGAATCGGCACCTGTGTCGCCTCGGACATGAATAACACAATGGGAGACGTGCAGGGCGAGCAGATGACGATGGATGTGAAACAAGACTGGTAAACCCGGAGCGGTGGGTGGACCGCGAGCTGACCGCGTTTTTTGGCAAAAAAAAACATTTTGAGTCAACGAGTTATGGAGCAGATGTAGCGCGTGGCTACCACACAAAAGGTGGCAACACTCACAAAATACCGCGGTCAATCCCACTGCTGGCTGACGGCCTACCCAGCTTGTTTGACCAGCCCAGGAGGTTTTATTGTCGTTTGGTTTCTTACATCGCTCGCCCTGTGCTGTAAGCTGCGGCCAGGAATCGAAACTCGGATGGGGCCCGGGTCCACAGTGCAGTGCGCGTCACCACGCGTATCAATTTCTTTATGATTTTTAATAAAAGTCACCATGTCACAACATTACCAATAGTCGTCATCGTCATCACCACAATCAGTTATGCAACAATCCATCAGGCTCCTGCGCGAGCTGATCTCACACCGCTCCGTTGGAGGGGTTCCGTTGGAAGGTGGTCGTGCAAAACGTTGTTTGGTCATCACATTAAAATACCTGTTTTTGCCACTTGAAGCACTACTAGCGAGTTAAATATCTGGCCCGGGCCCCAATGCTAATTGGTGCCATTCGTCCGTGATGGTCGTATGCATCTGTCCGCCAAATTTAATGACCACACTCAAAAAATGTCTGCTTCCCCACCATAGTAATGTGGAATGGCTCGAGACTGCCGACGAAGGTGAGCATTGTCTAACGCTTGTGGCGACGGGTCAGGAGACAGACGCCCTCGTCCAATAAACTTGAGTGTGAGCGCAACTCCATTCCCTTTCATACAGTTATGAAAACGGCAGGACTTGTACGAACGAATCTTAAATTGTCATCTGCGGCAACCTGTTGTGTGTACTTGTCCGCGTCATCCCCCTCGTACGGTGCGGGTTTTCCTCCTGGAACTTCCCAAGTTTCCTCCCACGTGCAAAATACTGTAAGGAATTGGCCAAACATGTGACTCCACACTTGCCTGGGGAGGGGGTCACAAAGACTTGGTGAGGCATTCAGTTGACGTGGGTGCAAATATTGGCGCCTCGTGGTTGCACGTTCGTGCGATACAGGTCGGACAGGTCAATGCAAGCGAACGGCGGTCAGCTCACGGGGCGAAAACCTCACGAATATTCGAAAAAAAAAAGTTAATGGCATTTGGTGATGTCGCTTAGGCAAGATTTCGCGCCAACCGCTGATCCACCACCGCCACCACCAGAGGCACGCGGCGGTCACCCGGAAACAACAGCGGGTCCGCACCCACGCGTGTCCAAGTGCGCAAAGCAACGAGCGAGCAACTCAAAGTGTAACGATGGAGGGGGTAGGGATTGAGCGCGGTGCGCTCGTTCAAACGATCCACGAGGGTCGTGGTGTCGTCCAGCCGGTGGAGAGGGAGGCCACGGACAAGGCCCAGTGCCAATTCGTCTCGTCACCAAGTGGTTGACAGAAAGTGTTTTGAGATACGGGAGGACATCCCTTTTTTTCTTTGCTCATTAACGCTCACGCGTGCGCGCACACGTACGCAAATGACACGGGGGATAGGATCCAACGCTTAGAAAAAATAAAATGATTACAGTAAAACAATTTCGTGATCACACAACTTTACAGGTGAAGCATATAAAACAAACCACTCGGTAATTTGCCAAAATTCCCTTCTGAAATAAACGTTTTTCATCACTAAAACTCGGTGAGGCTCTCCTGGGCAAAGGCGTATTAATGGTAGCTATTTATATAAAACCAAACAACCAAAAAAAATAACTAAACACAACTTGATTACCCTTCTTAACGTTGCTGTAATTCCCACGGGAGCCAATAGGTCCCGTGCAATTTTGGCACGATCCCCACCCCACTGCTACCCAGCGTCGACACCGTTGCGAGCAACGATGGAAAAAGCGTCCACACGTTGTCGACTGTGGACTCTTCATCAGCTGTGTGTGTGTGTGTGCAGTCCAATCGCCTGGGTCAACTTGCACTGGGATCCAATTCCATCATGAACACGATTCCTGTTCAACAGCCACCCCCCCTTGCTCCCACTGGTGCGATCCGGACTAGACCGCGGGGTCATTCGTCACGCTGTAACACGCGCTGCGGTGGTAATCCGATGTCTTAAACTGAGCAAAGAAGCAAAAAAAGAAAACCACTTAACAACACTCCGGACACTCTCTTTACACCCACTTTTTCCAGCAAAACTATTGGAATAACATTTATACAGAAGCAATTATATTAATGTGTACATACACGGAATTGCAAAATGTGGTATGAAATTCCTTTTTTCTCTCCAGAAAGCCATTCGCACAAACCTCTACCCGCCGCGCCAATACAAACCTAACGCTCATCTAGAACGGTCCTGGCTATTACTATCGTTTTTAAAATGGCACTAATGTGGAGTTCGTTAACGGTGGTAAACGACCGACGGTAGGTCAACAGTGGTTTATGCAAATACAGTCCAATGGACGGAGCGGCCGACGGAGGACACGTGAACGTTTCAGAGGGTCGCTGCACAGACGATGCGGCAGACGGAGACGTGGGTACTGTGTGCGTTGAGAAATACAGTCACCACATGCAGGGATACACAATAAATTATAATAGAAGATAAATATTCAACTGCTAAAACCAGGAAAAATCCGGGCGGAGAACGCCTCACCTTCGAAGGAAAAATGAGCATGGGGCAAAAAAAAAAATAAACATGTAAGAAATAAGCCCAGTACTGTATCATCAGAAGTTAGTCGTTTTGCAAAATATTAGTTTTTTTTTTACAATTTAAAAAAAACCATGAATATTAAAAATCCCATTAATAATGCATACGGACCTTAATGATAACAGCGGTGGAATAATAATAATAACTACGTACTCCCACAAAATAAAATGTTTTAAACGAAACCTACACCGGCCAATGAAGAGTGGTAAAGCACAGCCGCCTAACGTTACTGCACAAATTGTACCTCGACGCAAAGGTTCGCCACCACGGTTCCCGTGCAGCCCCTACACACCAACCACAGCTACCGCCACCACTCACATTAACATCCATTGCATTTACCGTTGCAATAGAGCGGGCGGGCATGCAGTCAGTGTTCTGCTTTAAGTTGCCAGAAAACGCACCAATCCCGCTCTCTCGTTCACTCACCGACTTGCCAGCCGACGAGCGAGCGGGCGAGCAAACGGAGAAAAATCAACGTAGTGTGGGGGGGTGGGGGGGGAAACCGGAGCAGCTGCCTTCACAGTGCCGAGGGTCGAGTGTTCCTCTTCGTGGCACTCGGAAGCCACCGAGTCCGCGAGCATTGTCGAGCAGCTCCGGCAGAACCGCCCTCCCGCCCCCCCGGTGCGTGCCGCAGTCGCGTCAGTTACGTCTAGGCTGGGGGGGGCCAGGGGGACGGTGGCCACGGCGGGGTCCTTCCGCTCGCTGGCGCGCCACGCGAGAGTCCCCCTCGCGAGTCTCCACGTGCGGCCAAAACCCCAACCGCCAGCGCCCTTCCTTTGCCCACCATCGCCGCCGCCGCCGCCGCCACCGCCACGGCCCTCACAAAAGGAAGGGGTTGTTGGTGCTGCCGGGCTGGCCAGACTGCGCCGACGAGACGTCGCCGGCCCACGCCAGAGGCTGCGGGGGCAACGTCCCCACGACGCCGGGGATGGAGAGGGGCACGTTTCCCATCATGCCCGGCGGCATCATGGGCAGGGCGCCGGGCATGCCCGGCATCACGGGCATGCCGATGGGCAACGGGCCCATGCCGATGACGCCCAGCGGCGGGCCGCCCACGAGGGGCATTGGCGCGAGGGGAACGGCTCCGCCCGCAAACGCCTGCGCGGGCAGCCCCGGGCTGGAGCGCAGCTGGTTGAGCGTGAGCGACGGCGGCTGGTTCAGCTGGAACGGGTTGGTGGCCGACGGGGTGGACGAAGAGGCGGAGGGTGCCGCCGCCGGCGCCACCCCTGCAAGCACGCGTGGTCGGACGGGTGGACAGGCGGATGAGCGAGAGCATGGGCGAGCGAGTGGGCGAAGGTGCGGGTGGGCGAGTGTGTAAGAACGTGCGCGAGTGGGCGAGGGTGTTGATGAGTGTGTGTGGGTGAACGAACATAGGTCAGGAGGAGCATGGGTGTACTAGTTGGCGAGCGCGAGCAAGTTGGTGCGAGAGGGTAGGTGTATAAGTTATTCAATTTGAGTGTGGGCGCGTGCGTGTGCGATTGAGTATATTGGTGGGTATGTAGGTGGGGATGACTTGGTGAAGTGGTGGGTGAGTGCATGGGCGAGCGCGTGGGCGAGTGCGACAGTTAGGATACTGCTTGCGTGGACAAGTGCGACGAGAGCGCGTGGGTGAGTACATGCATAGACAAGTGAACGTGTTTTTTTTTTTTACGAAAAAGTCGTAATCGTCAGTTCAACTGGACGAACACCATCACAATCGGCGTCAGCATCTACCTGTTCAAACGGGCAATGTGGCAGGATTAATCTCGAACCGTGGCCTTCAAACCAGCGGTGGAAAATTGCACATTTGAACCAGCCCACAACCGCCGCCTACGACTTTCCAAAACAGTCACCACCCGCCCGCCCGAAGACCGCCCGCTGAAGAGAGCCCGCCCGCCAGCCTGCCCGCCGGCCAGCCCGCCCAAGCGAGCCTCAACGCCCGCCCCCCCTAGCGTGCCCACCGCGTACCCAAGAAGGGGTTCTTGGCCTGCGGGACTGGCGGCGGCGCCGACTTGCTGACGAGCGAGTCCAGGTTGACGAGCGCCGCGTTAGGCCCGAGGAACGACTCCGGGGTCTTGCGGCACGACGGCGGCGCCATCATGCCTTGCTGCGACAGCGAGTTCGACAGCCCCGACAGCTCAAAGGCGTCCGGGCTCCGGCTGCCCGAGTCGTCCCCGCCCAGCAGGTCCATGCCGCCTGCTCCAGACGAGAGACGCGCGTGGTCGGCCCTCTCCACCGCTGCAAACGATGCCTACTGCGCTTCCCCCTACCAACCATCTCCCCCACCCCACCCACTGCCCACCTTCTCCCCCCACCTTACCAAGCAGGCCGTGCGATACCCACGACATGGTCTGCCCACCGCTGCTCGAGGAAGGTCCCCTTGCGCTGCGAAAGGTCTGGCGCTCGCCACCGGAAGGACGTTTGATTTGGGTGGGCGGATACACTAAAAATTAAAAAAGAACCGCACCCAATAAAGCACGCGAGCCACGGTCGTCACTGCCATCGCCATGGCGCTGTTGGTGGGTCAGAGGTGGACAGAGCTGGAACGGTGAGTGGATCAAGTCGGTTAGTTGACGAAGAGTTGTGATCGACTACTTCATTGTGGTCTGAGACTCGGACACCGACTCGTCTCATGGAGCTTGAGATAAAGTTACTAGAGTAAGTGTTTAAAAATAATCTTAACAGCTGATGGGAGCAAAGAGATTAGTTCATGTGCAAGGAGTGAAATGGATGGTAAAAGTACTGGACAATGAAGGATGGTGATGGTGTGTGGGCAGGTTCTTCATTCAGCAGGGGATAGACAATGGCTGACGATGATAACAATAATGATGATAGCGTTGAATGGCTGTATCACACAGCCAATTTTGTCTTCTGAATGTGCAGGAATTCTACAAAGTACGTTTAGTGTCTCAGACTGAACATAGCTGCACTATAATCTATACATTATTTTTAACCTGCTGACATTATTACCCTATAATGAATTCCAACAAATACGCCGTGTTGCATTCCCATGCACAACTCGCAGTCTGGAAAAGCCTGCTCCTGGCAGCGAGTGTCATGCGGGCAAAAACAAACGCCATGGCATAATGCATGTTGCACGAGATGCACGTTAAATTTACGTCACGTCTAACCTGATCAAACGAGCGGACCCAACTCTGCTGCTGCCAGAATGGCAATTTCGTGCACTTACATTGAACACATTAACAGCAGGCACCCCTGCATGAGTTTAGTATTTTTCTTGCAAAACTGATATGGGGTACGTAATATTTATATTCGTTGGCTTAACTCCATGAGAATTTTTTTTTCTTTCAAATGTACGCGACTTGTGCTTTTTTTACACGCACACAGTTAGTCACCAAGGCCTTTAGCTTGCATTAGGCATTGTGAAGCTTTGCATTTCTGTGAAGAGCAATAAATGCGGGGGGGGGGGGGGGGGGCGAGCGGCATAAGCTACATCCTGTAAGTTTTTAATAAATTAATGAACCGTCCCGGAACTTTCCCATTAAAAAATAAACTATAACGCACTTCGCCGGAAACACAACCGCAACACAACATCGGTACTCGGCGGGAACGACTAAAAGGTGACGCAATGTCTAATTTGTCAATCTTTTAAAAAACAAACCTTAAATGAAAGACCGCGCAGACAAAGCACATCGTGGACACACAGCAGCCTGTGGGAAGCACCCCAGTCACAATTTCAACCCTCGTCTGTTTATCAATCAATTACACGCCAACTTCTGAACTTAATAACAAAAAAAAATCAGGTTACTTATTTATTGACTTGTGACAACGCTCATACAAATCAGAGAGAAAAAGAATAACTTCCTAAAGGGTTTACCGGTGCCCAATTATCTGCATTTTACATAAATAATAAACACTTAAGCTTCATGCCACCCACCGCGTACTCCCTGCGCCCCAGCTAATGACCTACCTTGCCAACGCTAACGAGTCATCTGCCCGACTGCCTGCAGTGCTCGCGTTTCCTGGCAACTGGACGCCCGCCGCGTCCCAAAAGGTTTTTTGTTATTTTTGTTTTATTCTGAAATCGGGAGGCGGTCAGGTAGCTCTGGAGGTCAAAGCACGTAACTGGCACCGCCGAGATCCTGGAACATCCAGGTTTCAGGCCCCCTGTGATCAACTCGTGTTCGTAAGTGTGGCGTGTTGATGGTCTCAGTCCGATCATCCATAACCGTGTATTAAAAAAAATCACCACATTAAGTTTTGGCTCTGCACTAGATTTGGCTAAACTTCCAACTTAAAAAATAAAAATTGGTTTGCCTCATGTCACAATACTGTGGGAAAGTTCCACACCTTAGGGTCACCTGAAGGAATCTCAGGTGTAGCCCTGGGCTATCCGCTTCTGTGGGCCGCTACCTAACACGTATGGGATTGCACTGCTCAATAGAACCATCATCACATGACGTGGACAACAATAACATGATTGGAATGAAATTGAAAAATAATTATTACGTCAGAGTATGATTTAAAGTCCCTTCAAATCGGCCTCCTTAACCAAAAAACTAAACATGAAAGTTCCGTGAAGTGTACGATAATCAAACTGAAACGTTTCATTCTTCAAAGTTGAAAATAATAATAAAAACTTAGAAAAACTAAAAAGACAAAACAGTCATCGGTGTCCAGACTGAATCCATCAACTCACTACAACGCACCTCCGATTAGTACGCTTGGCTACGTAAAGTGCAAAGGAAGTTTGAAATGTACAGAAATACAACACACGAACCCAGGCCACCTTAGCTGTATTGCATCTCGACTGTCCCTTGAGCCAATACCTGTCATTCACCGCCAAATGACGGTGACGTCACCACGGCGCCTTGTGCCAGGCAAGGTGCACTTTGAGGCCACATGAAGTTTCGAAGGCTTGCCGACAGGGGGTCACGTTGGCTGAGATGGCCGGCAGATGCACCAGCTGTGCTCCCCTTACTGTGCCAACTTGAACCAACCTCGGCCGAACATGCGCGGCCCCCATCAACGGGGAAAAGTGCTAACTCGCCAGAGGTTTCCGGTAACTCGCACGCCCGACACGCACGCGACGACTTCACGAGCCCCAAACGCAAAAACATCACGAGCGCTCGGCACCCACCTGCCATGCCGCGGTGTCCTCGCGACGACGAGCGGATGCTGTCGAATTCCGAGAGGTCGTCCCCGGCCGACCCGTTCACCCCTGTGAAAGGGTCAAAGGCACCTGCGTGACACAAAGACAGAGATACCCCACCCACCTATAGCCGCGTAAAGTGTAGTGGGGGGTAGGTGTGGTCACAGCGACCATCCATCAACGCCAGCGGGGGCATCCAGAGCGGTATCGTCGTCAGCACCACACGCCCCGGGCCACCTTTATGCTAAGACAATTCAAAAGGATGAGTTGACCAAGGAGAGCCCCAGGACCGGTTCAAATGATCGCCACCGATGTAAGCCGGAGCCGGGAATGGAATTCGGGTCGCCGATTTTTTGGTAGCGCAGTGCAACTAAACCAGGCTCGCCATGCGAAGTGTTTGTGTCACGATGCTCGTGAAAGACAAGTCGACTGTGTGAAAAGAGAACACCTAAAAGCCAGTTGACGGTGGCGATGATGGTATAATTGTGAATGGTCCTTCAAAGGTTGAGTGTCAACTCAATGCGATGCCGTAAGAGCGGTCCCTTGACAGATTAGTCGACAACTTAACGAGGGGAAGACTTACTGGTGGCGATGAGACAGTTTGGAAAAGCAGTCTGTATGTTGAACTTCCTTCGCACCGTACGTAGCCAACCGTGCTAATCGGAGGCATGGGCTAAATCGGAGGTGCAGAGGCCGAACATTTGACTTATTCCACATGTAAGCTGTTTTCTAAAACTATAACCAAGTGGTCGCCCGACTTGTGGAACTGCCCATGCCGCGACCAGCAACTTCACAAACTCTCCGCCAACACTCGAGCGCCACTCGCCTGATTGTGACGACGCGGGGGAGGGCATCGACCCCCACGGGTCGGCCGGCTTCGCCTGCAACGGAGTCCCCCCCCCGCCCACCCCCCACGGGTCCGCAGCAGCCAAGGGCTTGGAGGGCGGGGGCCCCCAGGGATCGGAGTGCGCCGAGCGCGTGGGCGAGGGCCCTCCGATGCCGGCGCCGGCGATGCCGCCTGTCGCGCTCCACGGGTCGGCGGCCTTGGGCTGGGACGTGAGCCAAGGGTCCGGCGCCGGCACGGCCTGGACGCCAGCCCTGCCTGCGCCCGCCCCGAGACAGCGACGGGGTTCGCGGGTTTACACGCGCACGTACGTCACCGACGTCGTCGCCGTCGTCAGCCAGGAGCAATGCACTGCTGGTGCGCGCCGCTTCCGAACATCAATGGGGCGTCCTACCGCGCGACACGCCCGCCGTGTGAACGCGGGGACCAGGAGACCGTGGTGCACATCGTCTCCGGGTGCGAAGTGCGTCAGGTCAGGGCGTGCCGGGCAGACTGGTTGCCCTGTGCGTGCTAGAGGAGGAGGCAGTCTTGTGGCTATGCGGCTACGTGGGCTTACGCCCACTCGCATAACATCGACATCTGCTGCTCTGTGGGAAAGCAACGCGTAAAAGCGTTCGTGAAATAAATAACATACCGCTGGATGAAAGCCTCCCCCCCCCCCCCCAAAGCTATCAATCCACTGCCGGTGAATTCCACTATGGCTGCGGTGAACTCTCCGGTTCGATTAATTGCAATGCCATCCTTACTTGGACACCAGACAAAACACCTCAACAAAGTACAGCGGCTTCAAAGCAACCTGTCGCAAGATGTCTGGGGCATTAAGCACGGTCATATGGCTTCCATTCCTTCGCTGAAAACTATGCACCCTTCAGACACCGCGCTTCCGAGCTCTCTCGCGATCGAACGCGCCCGATTTACGCGAAGCACGCACGGCGCTATAAATTGCGCTTACTATTGTCATTCGTATTTCTCAGCCAAGATGAAAGCTAATAAAACGTTCAAATTACAATAAATCCCGCACAAAGGTGCAACGTGTTTCCTGGGAGCCATCGCAAAGCTACGTCCTTCGTGGCAGCGGACGAGAATCGTGGTCACGTGAGGTACGCTCGCAACTTTTTTTTTTTGTTCACAGGTGGCGCCCGATATCTGTGAAAAAGAGCCTTATAGCTCGTCGGATTCGTCCAGTATATATTAAAAAAAAGACTCAAAAGCAGATGATCCCTGGGTTTGATCTTCCCCGCCCTAAACCGCATCACACAACCATGGTAGATGGGGATACCTGATGCACAAAAATAAAGATGCCGATTCAGATTCTAACTGCAGGTTTCAAATTTGATGGTCATAACGCGTGGAGTGATTCACCAAACTCCTTTGCAAGTCAATAAACTGTCTGGACTCAGGGGTATATTTTTGTATCGCACTGTTGGTACCATCTGTCGGTACCTACCTGTGTCTCTTCGTCTAGTCTGTAGGGTTTCTTACAGTCTCGCCTACACTCTGTCGTGCAGATTGTTGGTCTCATCTGCACTCTTTGTACCGACTCATGCCTAGTTTCATCCGTACTGTCTGTACTGTGTGCCTCTGTACTGTGCATCTCAAACACATTCGAGAGTGTTGTCAGTAGTCTCGTTTGTCACGTCTTGTTTATACTTTGTTTTAGCTAGTCCGTGTGGTCTAATTTGTAGTTAACCACGTTTGTACCGTCTTGTTTGTTCCATTTCATCTCGACGGGCTGCCTTTTTATTTGAACTGTCCGTCATCTCTCGACTGTGCCATCCCATTTGTACCACCTCACGTGTACACTCATCGCACCCGTGAGCCTAACTAAAGTTAAGTTGCTGAAAAAAACTACGAAACATGAATTAATCTACACATACATGCACAATCCTAGTAGGTACGAATGCATTTTGGTCGATTAATCAGGAATCGTTCACAAAGCCTAACACCAACATTTGAACTTCCGCCACCGCAAAATAGGCAAGCGACGCGTTAAGTTCGCATGGAAACAATCGGCCGATTCCTGTTAACACGGCCCAGTGATTTCCACGGGGAATTGCCGTGATTAGCAAAGGTGCCACAATGATCACGAGCAAGTGATATCATCGTCATCATCATCATTCGCTGTGTGCTGGTATTGATGACTATTACTGAATCATAATTTTTTTCATTAAATACAAAATTGCCATTTCAGATATCTATGATCTCTCCGGGTTTTTTTCAACTACCAAGATACAGGACCTCTGTATATAAGTTGCCGTCTAATTTGTGTAGTTTTTCCAACACTGACAGCAAAGTTTTGGGCATTTTATTGGCAATAGACAAAAGCCAGAGTGTGCCTGCCCAAACCAACAATGGGCCACGTGAAGTGAGCAAGGCTCGCTGGTAGGAGGTCAAGGGGCAGACCTCGGTCATACAGCTTAACCGAGAAGACTGGCAGATGGACCACCTGTACTCCCCACTGTGCCAATTTGCTGCGTTTTAGCCACATGGCGCTCTGCTCATTGTTGAGCGTCGCTCACCTGCCCCCTCCCAACTGCCCAGTAGCGTCCTTCACTAGCCTCCTCCACAGAGGCCGAGTTTGACACCGGCTGATAACGGTCATCGGGAAAGTCCAATCCATACACAAACATCCTCCGTATAGACTTAATAGACTGTAGGAGCAAGTGCTGTTGACTAGCATTTATGAAGGCCGGCATGGCATACCCCACCAGGTACTCAATTGAGACTGGGTCGACCTCGGAGTGGCCTAGGTGTTGGTCAATGGAAATCGAACTCAAGGTTTTAAGTGTGGCACGCGAACCGCTATACCACTGCTCCACCCAATTAATATACACTCACCCTCTCACACACAAACACATACGCACCCGCGATGGTTGGCCAGGGGTCAGCCTGTGCACCGCCGGCGCCCCCGGCAGCAGCCACCCCCCCCCACGGATCAGCCTGGGCCGGTGGGGGAGGAGTAACGCCCCACGGATCAGCACTGGGCTGAGGGACGGTCGGCCTAAACGCGTCCACCAGGTCCAGCAGGGAGCTCTGCCGGCAGAGGAGGTGGCGGTGACGGGAAAACAATAAAACGTATTTTTCCCAAATCTCGTTACACGTGGGTTCTCCCTCTTTTTGCGGTAGGTTAAAATTTGTTTTGCCCGTTCACAGTAGTATGGTGGCCAATGCAGCGCAGCGGACAATACGCGACGGTCGGGGTTCACGCAGATTTGTAAAAACCTTGAGGGCGCTGCGCGCTATCATGTACCACCCGAGGACCTTGGACTGGGAGTGATCGAGCAGCCAACAGGGCACATCAACAACGCCTCCGTCACTGTGCCAGAACTAGAAATGGGATATCCAATTAAGTCACATATTACTCTACCGATTATCAGTTCGATTATTCAACTTAATCAACTAACAAACCCAGATGTAGAATAAACTCCGTCCATGCCTTGCAGATTCCAAGTGACGCTGCAGTGTTTTCAGCATTATCATCATTGTCATTATAATCATCATGGATATCAGCAAGCTAAGTGCGCAGATCGTGGCGAGTCTAATGACCCAAACATTGTGTAGGTACGCATGTTGAATTTCTTTCCCACCGTACGAAGCCAATCAGGAGTGCGGGGAAGGATAACTAAACACAAAAAGTATTCTAAAGAAATGAGTTTTAAATCTAGATTTAAACGTGCATAGCTCCAGTGGCTTCCTAATATCAAAAGGATGAACGTTCCACACGGCCACAGAAGCGCGTCTAAACACGTGCAATGTGGTGACGGCGTTTTCTCGACGGTTAGCCAAATGCCGCTGCTGCGAAGATTACCGGAGTTCGTGTGATGGTTTATGCTCTTTAACAAGAACGGCAAGATATTGTGTTTCACTTGTGGCGCGCACTTTGTGTGCAACGAGCACGACCTTACAATGCATTCGTTCGGCAACCGGAAGCCAATGAGGACCATTGGCTTGCGTCACACAGGATGTCAATGCATAGCCAGCACACCGCGATTACACGGTGTCACCGCGACCGTCCACACGCCTCTCTGGACTCGTTAATCGCGTGCGACAAATGGCAGGCACAGTTCTGCCTCCGCAGCGGATGGGGATGGGGGAAAAAAAAAAAACCTGCAGCCTGCCGAGTTTCGCCAGGCGGCTTGGGTTGGGTTGCACAGTGAAAACGAGGCGCGAGAGGCCGACGAAGAAAACTGCATGTTAAGGCAGGACGTTTTTTGTTGGTTTTATATCCCTCACTCGCGGTCCTTGCAGTTGGGTTCGCGACGGCGCGGCACCGTCGTGCCGTTAACGCAAGTCGCGCGGTAACGCCTCACCCTTCGCACGCCTTAGAGCTCGGTTTATACTGCTCGCCGTCAACTTTGCCCCTGGGTCCCTTCGCGAAAGACTCGCTGCTGTATCTCAACAGATTCCCCACCTGCTTCGACGAGACAACCAACTTGAAGATGCAACCCAAAAAGTAAACCGGCTTCCATTTTGCAGATCTTTACCCAGGCTGTGCGTTGCAAGGGTGGTCAACCTGGGTTTGAAGGTTTAATAACGAGAACATAAAAGGATTCAAGTGTGATTTAAGAAGCATTCTACAGTGACATCACCCTAATGGCCTATTAAGGATCACACTCAATTATTTAAAAAGTTGTTTCTGGCTGGCTGACGGTCTGAAGCGTGGGCGGGCAAGTGTGCGGTGGTGACGTCACCGGCCGTCACACAGGGTTGGGCCGGGTCCGTGCATCGCGCTGACGGTGGGAATTTATTTTATGAAGAGCGAGAGGCAGTCGGTTATAGGCGCAGGAAAAAAGGAAGAGTCTTAAGATTTGACTTGAACAGGGGCAGAGAGTCAACGGCCCGGATGGCTGAGGGAAGGGAGTCCCAGTTTATGGAGGCAAAAGAGGAAAATTAGCGAGAATGGCGCATGGAGTAATTTGCCAGCACGCATTTCAGCTTTTCTCACTGACAGTGGCACTGGGTGTGAACGCGGCGCGTGCAGCGAGAGTGGCGACAGGCGCAGACCTCCTCCTTCTTGGCGGCGAGCTTGGCCCTCTTGCTCTCCTCGAGCGCCATCTGCAAGCGCAGGTCATCCCCGCGTCGCATCCGCTCCTCCTGGTGCCAAAAGCGTGGATATACGTGTGGACACGGACACGCAGATACACACACACGTACATTATACACACACGCACATCAATACACGCGCGCAGATACACGCACAAGCGCACACCCAGACGTGTATATGAATGCATACAAACAGCACGCTCGCACAAGTCACACACGCGCACAACACACGCTCAATTAAGGCATACACACGCATACGAGACACACACGGACAAACACACACACACACACCCGCGGACAGCGCACACGTACCAACAACGCACGCACAGACCGCGCACACGTATGCACAACGTGAACAAACACACGCACAACGGCACTTCGGACACGTAAACAACTGGCACAGAGAGGCCGCTAAACCACACGTTTTGACAAATCTGTCACCAAGCCATACCGGGAAGTACTATGAAACGACACTGACATATTATGGACCGAGTTAACTAAAGGCTGTACAGAGCAGAATCATGAGCAAGTCATTTCGACGGTCGCTGCAGCTGCACATTCGTTTCATTGCAGAGGACCCGCAAAAGAAAGAGGATGACGTCCCGAAGATGGAAGTGTTAATCTCAATTGGCGTTCATTAGTGGTGGGTTTTATTATTATTTTTTGCGCAGGGGGAAGGGCGGGGAATGTTTTCGTTATTCTGCTTCCCGACAACGATCACAAGTGAGAAACGGGTGTCGGTTAGAAACGGCACGTGCGGCAGATCCCAAAGTCGACCGAGTTGTTGAACAGCTGCGAGGGCGTTTGGAAGTGAGCTCCGTTGTCATCGTTCATTCCTTCCTTTTAACCCGCTTAACAAAAAGGCAGAACACGACACAAGGACATCGACGTGACCCCGAGGGGAGGAAGAAAATGTTGCAATTTTTGTTTTGCTTTGCTCGTTCGTTCATTGGCGTTGACCCGTGAGATCGCTTATCCTTCACACTTTAGATCCCCGATTTGAGAATTAATGGTGCGAAACGTTGAAGCAGGTAATAATCAATTGATCATCAGTCAATCGAGTGAAGTTAGAAGAGTCATGAGGCAATCAATCTGCAGCCTTGGAACCAGCCTTTACACCAGCTCCAGAACTTGCCAGGAAACCAGGGTCCATTTCATCACCACCACCGCTTTGACTTAACATTGGACAGTCTACGCAAAAACAAACCTCCGCATGCTAGTATGGCGGCATCCTGGCAGAGAACCAAGCTATTCTCTGTTTGGCCAAATCATAAAATAAGGTCTACTTGGCTTCAGATACTTTAACGGCATATTTATGGGGTAAAAAATAAAACCACTGCTTGTGCCATTGGCCTTCTGACCACAACTCACACGGTCAAATATATTAGCAGATTTTTGTTGATGCGCAAAACTGGTGGTCACAATTCAGTGGACTTTCATCATTACAAATTAAATTTACATGTTTTAAAAAGACCAGTGGACGAGGTGATATGTTACTGCAAGCCATAAATTCACAGAGTGGACAACTGCTTTGATTTGCCTGTCGACGGAACGGCCAACAACAAATCCACCGCGGCAAAATAAACAAAGAACAACGAACCAGCGGTGCGGTTTATTTTCTGTCCCTGGTTTCCCAGCGTTCAAGGCTGCACAAAGCGCCGCCAACCAAATTTTTAAAAATCAAAATTGCCAAGAGTGAGGTCAGTATTAGTTCGTGGCGGAGGGTCAAAAGGATCAGTCAGCAGGTTAAGCCCCCGCGTTCTACCTTGTCATGCTCTTCTTTGCTCATACTCAGCGCAAGCTGCAGCTGTAGCTCTTCATCGTTGGCGGGAGGGGCCCGTGGGGCCGTCGGCTACAGTGCAGAGTATTAGAGAGGATGTTAGCGCGCGCGCACGCACGCGCGCGGACGCATGCACGCCCGTGGACGCATGCACGCCCGCGGACGCATGCACGCCCGCCCGCTCGCCGGCCGGCCGGCCCGCCCGCCCGCCCGCCTGTTGGCTCACTCACTCGCTCGCTCACTCACTCGGCTGCCCTCCCCGGGCGCTGTGGACACACCAGGCGAGTTCAGAAGCGGCAGCAGAACCGCACGCGGAGCTGGCCCTGTCGTCAGAAATACCGCTGCTCTGCAAAATAGTGCTTAGGGCTGATCGGCAGGTCTGACCCTAACCCGAACCACAACGCTTCCCCCACCCCCCATCTCCCCTTTCCCAAACATCTTATGTAGCACCAATTACCACCGCACCCAGTGGGCCTTAAACTAACTCTGATTGGCAGCAGCGGCAGTATTTTTCAGAGCAGCGGTGTTTCGCACGACGGCGCCAGCATGCGTCCGTATTAGAGGGCCGTAACGACTCAGTGGTTAAAAAACATTAAAAAAATGTTACGCTCATAATGCAAGAATCAAATAGTGTACGGCCAGAATTATTATTGTTGATCGATACAAGTTAAAAGTCTCCTTTTGTCTTACCCACTGCACATTATAAATGCAATACACGGCACTGTTGACAATTGAATTGCGACTCCAAACCTTTGCCAATCGAACCACGAAGGGGGTGAATCGTTACTTCCCGACCAAGTTTAGCCAGGCGAGGGAAGGGGGGGGGAACGAGGCGAGAGTACGACGGGCAAACAACGTGGCGTTTGCTTTCATAAATCGGCGCCAAAAGACAACGAGTGCTTATAAACAAAGCCGTCAGTAAACATTCTAGAGGTGGCACTTGTTACATCACCAATAGGGCGTGCCTGTGAAAATGCACATCATCACAAAAAAGACAACCTCTTGCACACTGCATATCTCCGTGGCCAACTACAGAGTCACTGAATTAAGGCCACGGGATAAAGATTCCCATTGCGTTTTAATTGGACGATCGATGTGGAGTGGAGTCCAACAGTGTTGCAACGTGCTTTGATATAAAAGTTGGAAATTCTCCTTCCGTGACATTGCAGCAGTGGTAATTCCATAAAACACAGAATTGCTGATATAAAACACACGAACCGAAGACAAGGAGCGCCACCGGGCCTTGCAAAACTGTCAGGCAAGTACTATTAGTGAGCACCTATTAAGGCCAGCGCACAGCAGGGGATGTTAGGGCCACAGCACCACGCATATGCCTGACTGCAATTGATTTTTAGGCCACGTCAACTCAGGGGGAGTCCCAAGCCTGGTTCAGATATCAGCTTCCACTGGAGTTGCACAATTTGGAGAATTAAACCTCAGCCCAGTGGGATAGTAGAGCATTGTGCGAACCACTATGCCACCATTCAGTAGCCTATATACACAAATACACAAAGATCCCCCGTATAGCCTTACCAGACTGATGGGGCAAATTCTGTTAGCGAGCGCCTATTAAGGCCAGCAGAGCACACGAGGGGGGTGGGTGGCCAGAACCACGCCTGGTTGCCTTTGTCTCCCTAGTGGTGACGTTTACACATCGCACTAGGTACTCATTTGTGGCTAGGACAACCTAGGGCAGGGCCCATAACTGGCACAGATAATTGTCACTGGTGTTGACCGCGAGTGGAAATCGAACTCGGGTCGCTGGGTTCGCAAGGCGGTGCGCGCTAACTGCTGCAAATAGGCCACTGGGTTCATAACCACTGCGCCACCGCGTCCCATCGAAAACACACACACAGACAGGCAAATAATAATCAACTCCCACAGGGACGATTATATTTACGTGTTTGCGTGGATAATAACAGATTTCATCGATCAATTTACAAATTATGTACATGCCTACATATTATGTAGTGGTCATAATGAACGCGGTGAGTTTCATCGTTTGCAACTCGTGCTTGTAAACAATATATATTTTTAACACGGATATATACATGTACAGTGTAGATGTAAGAACATAGTAACGTAGGATGGGAACAAAGCAAAAACATCACCCACCCCACAAACCCCACCCCCTCCCAGCCGCCCCACCCCCCTGGGGTGATCCCATCCTGCCAGCTTGGCTCGCACATTCACATGGGATCAGTTTACGAGCGCAACACCAGAAGTCTTCAGAGCGCTGGGTGGCAGTAAGGGGTGTGGGTGGGGGTTTCCTGTTAAAAAAAAAACCCAAAAGGCACGAGAGGGGGGAGGGCAGGGTAGGTCAGGGAGCAGGAGGGGGGGCAAGCTGCCAGACCAGACGTTCTCACCGAGACGACCTCCGACGCCGAATTATGCCTTCTTCTCGCGAACGCTCAAATCGGCGGCACGTGGTGCCAGGTACACTCTCGCGTCTCGGGAAATCAATCGGCCGCTCGAATCTTCGAGTATTCGACGTGCCTCTCTCTCTCTCGCTATCCCCCTCTCGTTGTGTCTCGGAAGCCATTAAGGCCCCCCCCCCCACCGCGTGGGTGTTTTGTTTCAGCCGTGTGTAATAAACCTAAAGGGGCAATTCGAGACGGGCCGGGCCAGGCAAAGCCCACCTACCAAGATGCCGGTGGGCATTCTTGGTCAAAACGGGTTTTCTAACGCCGATAAAAAAAAAGCATTTCGATAAAGATAACAATGCGAGGTACTGCCGGGCATGTCACGCGTTTGAATGTTACCCTCGGTGGGGCAATGACTGAACATCGCTACGGGAATTTTACCAAGTACACCGCGCAGTTTGAGTCCACTTCACACTCAGTGCCTTGGCGAGCTTAGCGACTTCCTGACCAGTCGTGTCCCCTCGAGTCTGGTTCAAACATTGGTGCAATCTCCTAGTTATGGCAGTGAGCAATAAAATGAGTGTATTTTTAAACACATGTGAGTTGCTTAACCACTGTCAAACTCGCAGCAATCGTACGTTTCACGAACATCATTGCACGCACAATGTCCGAGATAAAAGACCCGTGCTTTGCGCTTGTTTCAGAGGGGATGAGGCCAGCCATAATGCGTCAATGGTCGACCAAAGTGACGTGCTTTTCATTGACTTGGTCACAACCCCCCCCCCCAAGGGTGAACTTTGTGGGCCTTCCACTGTGTGGCGACAGGACGGGGCACGTACAAAACGACGAGCGGCTCATTTGCTGCCAGCGCGACACACCAGCGCAGGTCGCCCAGCGTGCGATGCAAGCATGACTCACGAGCCAGATTACGCAAGCCAGTGCAGGCGTACTCTCCACCACACGTCACGCCGCAAATACAATCTCCTCACTCAATGCATCTCTCCGATCCTTCCGTTCAGGACATTGTTACGAGATGGCCAGAGTACATGATCTGGGGATTCCAGGTTTTTTCGCACAAACCAGTGGCCAAATACTTTCAGAGCATTTCCCTCTAGGAGGGTCACGATGCATCGATTAATACTGACAGGTGAAGCTCACCATTCACACATCGAATTGCTTGTTTAAGAATAAATGTTGTTCAACTTGCGTCACATGGCCCTTGCAGCTGTTGAGATAGCTATATTCACAAAAACATTTTTTATCGGTTATTCAATCAAATCGTGACCCTGAATCGTGACACTTAATGGAATCGTCGGGAAGTAAATCCTTACACCCTTAATGCCAAACCTTCAATAGACTAACCTCTTGCCCAATCTCCTCCTCACGCCAGAAAGCATAAACGTAAACGATATGCCAAATGCTCTTTGCACATCTGCACTAGTATTGCATCACCTAGTAATTACGAAAAGCACTACGTCCAACAGCTAACACTTGAAAGCAGTGACAATTCATTACAAGGGGGCCCCCCGTTACTCTCCGAATGAACACCAATGTCCCCCCCTCTAAGTGTGCCTATCCATTCATCAAGGGCACCTCTTGGTGGTGGCTGGGGACACACCAAGGGTCAACAAGGACAATTCCCATTGATGCCACCACACCACCGCTTCCTCCCTTCTGTCAGATCCCGCGGTAGTTGCAGTCAACACCTAACCTCCAAGGTCTGCTCTTACAGTTCCCCCCATCACACTCAGGATGTTTTACATTGAGAGTGCGATTACAGGTTTCATTTGAGCAAGGTAGCCCCGGGACTGCTGACCCATACGCTCTTCACCAATTCCTGGAATCACTGCTGTTAAAGGGACACCGCTGTGCCATTTCACACGAGGGTCATTGTTTAAGGGAGTTTTTCCAAGGCCTTCGGTGCACACGCTCTGGAATTAAGCTCAATTTCACATCTCCCCATCCCCCCTGGGGAGCAAACCGAGCCGGGCCAGGTTTTTTCTGAGTGCGTATATGACAGCACGGCCATGACATGCTTGCCAATGTTATACATGCAGCTTTCTGTGCATGCACCGCAAGTGAGCGGCGAAGATCATAGACTGCACATGATTCAGCAAGTTGCTGTACTCCCGACGAAAGTGTCAGACTATCGAGCTGAACAGCTCAAAATGTGAATTACTTTTGTAAAATGTGCTACAGCCAAATGCACTGATGTTATTACGAAGGAGGTGAATGAGGTTTTGCAGAGCAACGGCTGAAAGTGAAAGCACGTCGGTGTATGTATGCTTAAAGGCTTACACACACGTATGCACATCTATGCCTATGCAGCTACATTGACCAAGTACTATCGGTGCACTGATGCATTTATCCATCAATATTGATTCTTCAGTACATGCATCCATGGAATTGTTTTGAGCATTCAAGCAAACAATGGAAGGTTGCGAATTCGTGTGGGTCAACTCTGGCCATCACTCTACAGTGGTTAGTCGACAGTGATGAGTCATTCCTTTAAATAGGAACGTGGAATTTCCACCACTGGCCACAAAAGATATAAGTGGTGACCAATGCTTGTTGAGCATGGACTTTGGCTCGGTGAGTAAACTGATACGGAAGCCTCATGCAGTAGCAGTGATGATCATTTACACTGCTCAACCTTGTGCATGTTAGCGTTAAAGGCGAAACCATTCGCAAACCCTGACAACTTGCCAAACAATTAAAACATAAACACTGTCCTTTATAAGATAAGAAAAGGTTTACTGTCTAATGGGTTTTCGTGTTGTACCACGGTGTTGTCTGGAAGCTCCGTCAGGAGCATAATTCAATTCAGTGAATTGGATTCAGTGAAGTCTCGATGCTCCACTCTCGCAATTCAGCTTGCCGAATTTCACTTCCTAAAGAAGTTCTCCGCACGCGGAGTGACACATCAGACATCGCGTCCAACGACACGCAGCGCCCACCGAAAACACACACCGCAGAATTGTATAACACAACGGTGAAAATGTAGCGCAATATTATGCACAAAGATTACTCTACTGCTCGCACAACCGTGTGTGCAATGAGTGCCCGACTCTCAGCGGTTGGTAGAACTGCCCGTCCACCCACCCACTAACTGGTGCATGCCAACGTGGCCCCAAGCGAATAAATGCGAACATTCAGGGTGAACCAGCAAGCGCGTCAAAGGCAACCCAATCTGACCAGACTACCCCAGAAAAACCTTGTCTCCCACTACTTTTAAATCACCAGTGTCAAATCAGTGCGCCTCACACTTGATGGGTGTGAGGGGATTAACTGTCAAGTCACGGTTGCATCAACGTGTGCATCAATGTCCTTTGATGTTTTTTTCACTGGGCAAATCAATGATTGTTGGGTGAAAACCGGTGATATTTAAATGTAATTGTAGTGCAAAGAATAAATAAATGTATCTTGTAACTGAATTCATCCATGAATATTTGCACATGCAATGATTCCCTCTTAATATATGATAAACTCCTCACAATTCGATTAAAGAATACACTTTTTTCACTGTGAACACAGCACAAAAAATACCAATTCAAATAATTGGTATTCAAAATGTACTGTGAGCACAAGAAATTTATTTTAGTGGTTAAATTGAAGCATTATAGCATGCTTAAAGTGGCTCCAAAATTCACACATCTGAACAGGTGGCACTGTAGTTTGGGCACCCGACTGATGATTAAAATGTTTAACGTTGAAATTTGTGGTCAAATCCGCCTATTATCTTTCCAGGATTGATAAAACTAGTACAAAGTTGTGGTTATATCCTACGAACAATTTGGTATCCTCCATAATAACATGGAATTTCCACAACTGGTTCTGAGCCATTGACGCCCGCCCCCATAACCTCTGTTTGCGCAGGGGAGACACTCTTTGACCTTTTGACTTTGAATAAACAATTAACAGATAAGTATCAGAAACGAATGCGCAAAAAGTTCTGCCCTCACCCTTCCCAGAAAACCGATCAAGCTTTGCCCAATGGGCACACGGTGAACCTGCTCCAGAGAGATTGCGTGTCCGGGCCCTCGGGTGTACACACAGCATCAACACCCCCGCCTCCCACAAGGTTAGGCCCATTGCCAAACAGCACCAAGAGCAAGGATGGACTTTGTTTTTAGTCTGCCTCGCAAACCGTCGCAATCACGATCACTTAAAAAAATAAAATTAAACTAAATTGCTCAACTTTTTTGTTTTCATGAATGAGGGCCTGGCATGAATATTAAGTTTCTCGTTAATTATCAGTTGCAAAGCAGAGGCCTATTTTCCTACAAATGCTGCTCGGGCTATGACAAGGAGCTAGCGGCCATGAACAAAGTGTAGGGCTAAATGTCTCCCAACGGCGAACAAACTAATATTACACAAGGGGTAGTAAATAAATCCAACTAGAGCACCGACCGACTGATTCGACCAGACATCCAAACAGGGCAAATGTGCTTTAAGAGGTCTACAACACGATGTGTGTTCGAGGCCAAACAAAATCACAAACCTCCAAATGAGTTTCATCCCGTGTGTGTGTGTCAATGCTACTGCAGCAGGATTATTAAGTAGGGTTGCCACAACATAATTTCTTCAAAGTACAATGTTAATATTAACCATTTGATATGATTATCATAAGTCAGTTTCCTGTAAATTTGTAAGTGAATTTCACAATTTTATCGTATTCGGTTTGTGCTTTGCTGGACTCCAGCACAAAATAAGGAAGTTGACTTGGTATATGCCTGCCATAAGTAATTTAATATCTGCAACATCACAACCTATAATGCTTATCACTCACATTATGTTAGTTATGCAAGGCATAATTAAATAACTAAATGAACTAGGGAAGCAATGAGGTAACAGCCATCATGCATCAGTTACTCTAGAAAACATTTTGCGAAGTACTCGTTTATAACGGACAATAACAATGTATTTAGAAGTTTAATTATTGTGATTTTGTCATTTGTTAAATATTGTATTAGGTTATAAAATATGAATTAAAATATGGGCAAAGATAATAAGACATTTCTCCTTGCACTCGGTTTTTTTTCCTAGACACTTTTTTTTCAAAGGAATTGACAATACATTTAAAGTAGAAACCTGAAGAAAATATCGGTCAATGTTTTATTTTCCCAAAGCAAAGAACAAATCGTACACACATCTAAATCACCATCTTTCAGCAAAGTATTACCTTGCAACACAACAATAATAAGGGATCGGTATAAAGTGGAAATGTTTTTTTTTCGGCTGGATTTAATGCGCATGTAATTATTTATCGTTGAACTATGTCCTGCTGAACATTCCCCACTGCTGAAATGGAAATATTAATAATTGAGTGATGCTACGATAATGCTACAGACGGTGCGAAGTTCAACAGATACATTGTACTCACCGGACAATTATGGGAGGACAAGGCACTGTTGTGTGCATTGGTGTGTGAACGTGACCTCAAAGTTTTACCTAGCCTGGTACAAGAGGCTAAGACATCAAAAGAAAATGGGTCAATTAATTTTTGGTATGTATGTTTGTGTGCATTGCATTGCGCATGTCTGTGAGTGCGTGCCTAAATGTCTGCATGTGTACGTGTCACGCATGTCTGTGTGTGTGGATGCATGTGGGGCTGTGTGTATAGCTGGCAGGGTCATGCAGCCCGCATGCCCAGCCACCGCATGCCGAAACAGCTTTTGTTCGGCCGGATCGAGGAGGCTAAATGGGTGCGGCACGGGCTAGAGAAGAGATGGAGTGATGTGGTACAGGAGGACATGGAGCTGAGTGGACTTGCCGATGACTGGTACCAGCGGTGTCAAGATCGGCCTTTGTGGAGGAGGCTCGTGAAGGACGCTACTGGGCAGTTGGAGACAGTCGCTCTCCAACAACAACGGAGGGCGGAGGAGCGACGTTCACAACAACGAGCCGAGCGCCGCGTGCCTAAAGCACAGCAGGTTGGCACAGTAGGGGGCACAGGTGGTGCATCAGCCAGTCATCTCAGTCAGTCGACCCGTGGCACCTGGGTCTGCCCCGTGACCTCCTGCCAGCGGGCGTTCGACACTTCACGTGGCCTCAAGGTGCACATGGCCTGGCGCAAGCGTCGTGGTGACGTCACCGCCACTTAGTGGCGAATGGCGGTTGTTGATGTTGTTGTGTGTATAGCTCTAAATGCGAATGTTTGTTTACGTGTACACTTGTGTGTGTACATGTGAGTATGCATCTGCCTGTGTAGGTGGCAGCACATGTGGCCTATGCGCGTAGATGTCTAGAAAAATGTGTTGTTCGTGTGCTTTAGAGCTGGGACGATTAATAGACTAAGTCGATTAATCAACAACAACAAAAATATAATCAACTCTGTTCACAGTTTACTACTCGGGACTCTTTAAAAATGGAACCCCACACCCCCTCCTCACATTCTGCCACCTGAAGGCAGGAAATCCCGCCAAGACGCATGCATCATGAGCTTAAGAATCGATACGAATCAATGAATCGGTGAACAGTTCTACCCGTGATGTCTGCGCGCACACCTGTATACGTAAACAAATCTGTGGCTATGTATTTGTGTTTCCGTGTGTACACACGGCCACCTGCGCCTGCACGCCGAGTGTGCGCGCATGCAGGCGCGAGTCCGCGTGACCGCAAGTTTGTCAGAGCTGCGACTGCCGCAAAACGATTGAAGCAATAGATCGAACCATCGGTTATTCCATTTCATCATCGACTAGACAGGTTCGGAAAAAGAACCTACTCATTTTGATACACGCACGGGGATCAAAACGTGGCATTGGGCGGGGATTGATGACGTCATCATGCTCGTTGTGCTCATCGGCCGTTGTCACCGCGTCACGCTGGGCACACACTGTGGTGCATTCCCAGAGTTTTGTGAGGCCGGAGGATGCCCATAGCTGCCCATTTGTCATTTTAAAACGGGTGATGCGTAAATTTATTCTAAAAGAAAATTATAATCAGCTATTGTTAAAACCAACTAATCGACCCAATCTATTCATCGTCTCAGCACTACATGCTTGTGCCCTCCTAAGCGCTGGCACTAACCTGTTCGGCCTCCTCTCGGCTCATGGCGAGCGCCAGCTGCAACTGGAGCTCCTCCTCGCCGCTCGTCTGAGGTCGGGCCTGCTCCAGGTCTGAAGGTATGTGTGATGTGGCTGCACACGCACGCACACACACACACACGCACACACACGCGACGCACAACACGCACAGACACGCACAGACACATTCTCACAGACGCGTGCATACACGCACCCACACAGGCAGACACACAGACACGCACAAAGACAGCCGAGCGCACACAGATGATCCATTTAGCCTAACAAACCTTATGGGAAAAGCTCTGTTAATGAGCGTACACTAAAGCCGGCGCAGTGGTGTGGCCAAAACCTCACCTCGCAGCCCGTTTCCCCAGTGCTGTTATTTATACACCACTCTGGGTACTCAGCTAAAGGCACAGAGTTCACCATACCGCACGCCACTGTTGTGCATGGCTGGAAATTGACCTGAGGACGTTGGAGCTACTGTGCAGTGTGTGAACCAGCCACAGCACTCCCCACACGCATCATCCATTTTTGCCTTGTACACTAGGATTAAGTGTCCGCAGTGAGCAACTATCAACGTTTACACACAAGAACATATGGCGAAACCAGCATACCTGGCCACATTTTTTCTACCCAGATTAAGTAATGGAGACCACAGTCCATCACACCGGATGCTCATTTCGGGCCAAGCCAACCCAGAGTAGACATAACCAGGTATGGCTAATACATTTCACAAATGGTGACGTGGACATGTGAGCAATGATTTAACCTATTACTGAGCTCATAGGACACCATTGCGTGCACACAAGAGAAGGGCAAAAGTAGATACAATGGCATTGGAAGAGAGAGGGCATAGTGGAATAGTCCTTCACTTTATCAAATACATCTAGTTAAGCACATTTTATTGCACAAAAGTCAGTTCAATGTTCTTTTTACTAAGTGACAGCTCATTGACAGCGAGTCAACATCCTTTAATGTTTGAAAGCTCAATGACGTAAGGATTTTTGGCAAAAAGGGCACTGCAAGATTATCATTCTATAGCAAAACCATTAATGTAATACACATTTCAAAATTAAAAGTCTTACCTAAAATGAGTATGGGATGGTGCTCACCTCCACTTGTGGTCTTGGTGAAAAAAACATATTCCTAATGCAGGGCCTTTCTCACTTTAGGACAACCAGTGGTGCTTATTTTATTGACTGATGGGCTGAGATGGTCCGAGACAAGCTCTGCGCTGTGCCACAACACACTTCCACCAGAAAATGATGTTTGCTAGCATACACATTAAACTAAAACTAGTTTTAAAACTACTATAATGGCCCAATATCATGTATGTGTACAGCCAAATCCACTTCTGGTAAAGGGCCATTCCTCACCATGCAGGTCACGGACAATATGTGACCAGACTTCACCACGCTGGTCAGTGAATTTCGGTGACACAGGGAACAAAGATGCGGGGACATAGAAGTATAGGACAATAATTGAGATTCCCACACTCCTATCAACTGTCCACCATGTAGCCTCACAGCCACAAAACAAATAGTTATTGCATTGCGATCGCCCATCCAAACACTATTCAGGGTTGAAACCTGCCTAGCTTCCAGGATTGGGCACATTCTGGTTGAACTGGCCAAGGGAAATAATTGTACAAATATAAGAGAAAATTAGCAAAAATATATTTATTATAAAGCTTTACCTGGATAATCCCTCAGGTGCAACATCGCTCCTACGAGTGTCCGTAGAATCAAGTGGCATATGCAGAGGTGAATTTAAAAGCGCAACCAGGTTTGTTTAACAATCACTGAAAGAGGCCAGTTGGCAGACATTGGATGGAATATATTCTGTTGACACCATCAACTTCTTCTTTTCCTCTCAGTGACAGCAAAAATATATATTTGCTACTATTTTTAACATTCCCAACTGTTTCGGTTCACTGACGCAGCTCAACCGTGTAGATTACAAACATGTTATTTTGAAAAACAATAAAATGAGGAAATGTAATTAAGCCAAAATGCCTGACGGTCATTATTCCCGACAAACGATTGCCGTTGAAATGTTGTCACACAACGTGTGCATCGTAATAAAATTGCCGTTAATACTCCATCTGAAGCCACATGAACAGTCCAACGTACTTTGTGGCATCTTATCCATTACTATAAATTGCAACTGAAAGCTATACAGTACGACCTGATGTACATCACCTCTGTAAAAAAACACCATACGTTATAACCATGCATTGCAACCGTGGGTGTAGGTTTCATTTCGCAGGTTTCAAATAAACGACAAAAATAACAGAGGTGAAAAAATAATCTATTCAAGTCGGGTAATGTAAAATAAAAAAAATGTTGTCTATTCGGTTTGCCAGTGAGAGAAACTGCACAAAACCTGATTGAAACTGGGGACTTCGCTGTCGTATTTCCCTGTTTTCCCGACGAATTCACTGCTCATGTATTTTCCCACTCAATATATGAAAACCCCCGGTGGCTTCAAATACAAATGGCCCCTGAGTAAAGAAAATAAAACAACACACTTTGGCAGCGATCATAAGACAAATACCGCTATCGCTACGTAAACATGTTAATGTTTTTACCGCAGCTTATTGCCATCAAGAGGTTGAGTAGATTTTTCCCAGTGCTAGGGACGAATTTGTCCAGATTCTGGCACTGGTATTCATAATGCTGTGTGGCACGAGCAGGGCCGCCCAGAGATTGCCAGAGGCCCAAAGCAAAATGCCACGTGGGCCCCCCATATTTGTCAGTGAAAAAACAACATGTCCCGTTGAGGGCCCTTCTTTTGTGCAAGGCCTGGAGCAAATTTTCCCTGTTGCTCCCCCGCTGCTCTGGGTGGCCCAGAGGACTAGTCTCACCATTGAGAGGTTAAGAGTTAAAATCCAAGTCTGAGATTCATTCGGCCCAACACTAACCAGTTCGTGTAGGAGGCCGATAAAATGAGTACCACTTTGGGCAATTCAACCGTGGTTGTACCTCAAGGAATATGAAATTGCACCACGGGTTCAAGGTCACCAATGGAGAGACAAGTTCCACAACACTGCTCTTTGAACAGGAAGGCACTTCAACTCTTACGTCGACCAAATAAACACAGGCCAAGATCTCAGATTATGCCACACTAAGCACACGTACAGTGGGTAACTGCCTTATCTGACGAAACATCTTTGCAATTGACTTTGCCGCCTTATCTGTGGCCTCCGAGTTAGCCTTTTAAATTGCCTCGGATAGGTACCAGCAAACTTAAAACAGCGTGCCACTGTGCCACTCGCGCCCAATGCAATGACAAGGTTGCACCTCGTGATGTGCATTCCACAACAGAGATGAGAACAAAACAAAGTCCTTTCACAAACACACGCGCCATCACGTTAAAGCAGAACAGTGCGTGGAAAGTACCCTTCACGGTTTCAGTTGTTTGGGGGCCGAGCAGCATTCTTTGCTCTGCATGGAGGGAACATTTGGAACAGGCTCTGCTGCACTCCGATACGCGTGGTGGAGCCGATCATCAGATGGCAACGTCAGGCTTGGGTGCGTGGTACAGTCCCGGTGCCATAGAATAATCTCAAGCACTCATTCCCCCCCAAAACAGGGGGGCAGACCGGACCACACGGTTTGTGCACTCCTTGCACACAAACAGTTCGCAAACAAATCGGAGTACGGTTTGTTGTTTTGAGGGTTACACACCTGGGGAATTTAGATAATTAAGTATTTATTTTGACTGCCAAAAATAGCCTGCCTGTGTGGTTCTATTCTGTTGAATGATGCCTGTTCAAAAGTCGTATATCTCACAACACATGCATGTGGAAACTATGCTGAATGTAATCAAGAGCATTCCCAACCATTTAAACATTCAGTTATTTATTTTAAATGCCTCTCTTTTTTTATCCGCCTGTTCAAAAAGCTCAGATTCTCTGCAGAGCGGCAGGCAACCAGTGCCAGGAGGAGATGCTATAATCTTGGATGACGTCGGCACCTACGCAGTACGATGGAAAACATTGAGTTGATCCTGTTAAATTCTTATGTTTCATTTAACAGCATTACTGCGGTAAAGAAAGTCATGACATTACAAAAATTAAATTCGCATCAAAATGACTACAAATGTCTATCGAGAGAAAAAAATAAAACGGTTGAGAAAAAAAATTGAAACCTATCCCGTAACTTGACAAAATTCATGTCCTGCCATTTCCACGGCCACCTTCCCCCATAAAAGCTGCACTCTCACTCAACCCAGCCTGGTAAATGGTGCTAAAGATTAACCGGCGGCGCTGCTCACGCATTGAGGCGGCGATGGCGTGAGGGGCTTCTGCCCACCCTGATGTTGGCCCCACCCTCCCCAATCAAATGCATCGGCGAGCGGCTGAGTACCGCCGTTCAAGCGAGGGGAGCAGAGGCTCAACCACTCCAGCTGTGCAAGGTCACGGGCGCTCGGGCTGTGGGAACAAATTGAAGCGCCTCGCTGCTACGCCTCGACCACGACAAGCACAGAGCGGTTCGGACTCCACGATGTTGCGATTCCATGAATTGTCGCAAGTCGGGGGATGTAATTATATCTTTTTAATAGAATCTCTGTTCTCGGATTTTTACCATTCCTTTTGTACAAAAGTTTCTCACCTTTTTCCGTCTCATTTGTATAGTTTGGTTTGCTCCATTCGCCCCAATGTAGCATTAGCAAACAATTTGCATATGTTATACATATCTCAAGCACAATATTCAATATATGCATTGTAAACATAATTGATAAAAGAAAATCGATGGAATCATTAAATGCCGAGCAATGGTCAAAATCCAAGAGCTTCTACACTGTAATGAGGCTCATTACCATCTGTGACTTATCATCGGAATTTGGAATACGTTTTTGTGCACAGAATAAAGTCAAAGCATCCCCCTGCTCAAATAAGCATGGGATGGCACTCATTTCCACTGACGTACAGAGCCAGTGGTGGAAATTCCACATTGCCATTCATGGAACCAGTATCTCTCCGTCAGACAGTCACTGTTGACATCTCGCAAAATGCTTTTCATCGACTTTGAAGCAATGATGGGCAGAGCTGTCCCTTGGCCAAAACTTGAACTCTGCCTTTCGGGCAAACCGGAACACAGCGCCAC